CGATTCGTAGTGAAGTGCCCGCTGGGGTGCGCCCAGCGGCCAGCGCCACCGCGCCCGCGTCGGTCGCGCCAAACTAGCTGGCCCCCGCGCGCGCGAGCATGCGCGGGTTAGCGCGGCCGCAGAGATGCACCAGCCACCACCAAGCACTCATCGCAACCGCCGCCGCATGGGTTTTGCAAACCAAGTTGCGGGCGGGTGGGTGGGATGATTGCTCGAGCACTGGATTTGACATCTCAGTGCGAACAAAAACGGATTGCACCACATAGGTTGGACTATACAGATTGCACGCCATGGGTTTATATATTGCCCCACCTAGATTTCACAATATACATTGCACCCGAACAAATGTACAACATAGATTGGACGCCGTAGAGTGCTCCACCCTGGTTGCACAATACATAATGCACAACATAGATTGCACCACGCAGGTTGCACTGCGTGTATTGTACACTTGTTCTCACCACATCGTGTGCGCCGCATAGGCTACACAACGTAGATTCTCCTTTAAACAATGACATGATTGACCCCCCCCCCTGGACTTAGCCGCTTCCCGCTTCGTGTCGCAGTTTACATGTGATTTTGGCCGTTGTCCATCCTAAATTTGACATCGTATCACCCCAGCTAAACCGGCAACGGCCCCCCCTCATCCTTTCGCGCATTCGTCTATCAAACAGCATAGGGTCTCAAGATTTCGCGCGGATACCAAATGCAATCACCCCGAAAAACGTATAGACAAACATGGTTTGACAATGAGAATTGCCAAACACAGTTTTCGCCCGCGCTCCTGCGAATTCTTTAGGAAACTGTAGGTTTTCAACATTATCACGCAATGCTACCAAGTGGACCTCTCGCGCGCGCATGGCCAATGCGCCCTTGCGCGTGCGCTGTCGCAAACATCCCTTTCCTCGGCGGGGCGAAGTACGCGCGCGCGAGTCGTCGCGCGCGCGTGCCGAAATCATTAAGCGTCGAAAATCGAGCACCCCGAAAACACGTGCAACACGTGGTTTTGCAACGCCCGCTTCCCCCCCCAAAAAAAAACAAAAACACGCTGCGTTCGCGTTCTTGAGAATAACGAAAACCAAGACGGTTTCTTTCTGACAATTTCCATCAAACTCGGCCCAGCGGGCCCCTCGCGCCGCAAGTCGACATCATTTGAACGCCCTTGCGCGCGTGCTCGGGGGGTCGATGCGCGTCGCATCATGCGCGCGGGCCACTCGCGCGCCGGCCACGCGCGCATGTCGAACTCCTCCCACAATCTCCATTACCGGCGCGGGGACGCCGTCATTGTCGCTGGCGTGATCAGCATCGGCGCCGTCATTGGCCGTGCCGTCTCCGTTGCCATCATCGCCACCAGCGTCGCATGATCATCTTCTTGTCTACCGTCGTCGACGTTGCCATGAAACCGCGCCCGCCCAATTCCGCCGACTCGCAGTGAAGTGCCCGTTGGGATGTGCCGAAAGGTCAGCGCCGCGGCCGCGGCGGCCGCGCCGAGCTAGCTGACCTCTTCGCGCGCGAGCACGCGCGGGTTAGCGGGGCCGCACAGATGCACCGGCCAACACCAAGCACGCATTGCAATCGCCGCCGCATGGGTTTTGCAAAACAACATGCGGGTGGGCGGGCGGGATGTGTGCGCCGGCAGTGGATTTGACATGAATTTCGCAGATGCAGCGCGTGGGTTGCGCGACGTATATTCTCCCATTTCAGCCAGTGATAGGATCGCCCCCGCCCCCCTCCCCCGGATTATCAGTTCCCCGCTTCGCATTGCAATGTGCAGAAGATGTCGCCTCAACGTCCATCCGAAAAATGAAGTCGCACCATCCCAGCCAGGTCTGCATCGACACCTTCCGTCACCTTTTGCATCGAATAGTATGCGCGCGCATTCGTTCATCACAAATCATCACTTGTCCAATAATCCTTGTGCAACAAAAAAAGATGACACGAAGTGCGCGCGCGCGCATCGTCGGGCGCGCAGGCCGAAATCCTTCAAAAACTTTCGGCGTCGTAAGGATTTCAAAACCGAGAGTCGAAACAACATATAAAACACACATGGTTTCGCAACAGGGTTTTCAACAAAACAAAAAACGGTCTTGCGAATTCTTAAAGAAACCATCGGGTTTTCAACAGTTTCAAGACATCCTACAAAACGGGCTTCGCGCGCGCATGCCGAAATCGCTCGAGCGCCCTTGCGCGCGTGCTGTCGCGAGAATCCTTCTCAAAACGCGCGACGAAGTGCGCGCGCGCGTCGTCGCGCGCTTGCCGAAACCCATGGACAACTGCAGGTGTCGCACGGATTGCAGAACCGACGATCCGTGTTAATTAATACCATGCGAGCCACTCGCACGCGCGCACGTCGAACTCCATCCAAAAGTTTCCTTACCGACGCGAGGGCGCCGTCATCGTCGCCGGCGTGGTTCGCATCGGCGCCGTCACTGGCCGCCCCGTCGTCGTTGTCAACATCGTCGCCAGCATCGCTACCATCAGCATCGCGCTTATTGTTGTCGACGTTACCATGAAACCGCGCCCGCCAGAGTCGCCGACTGGCAGTGGAGTGCCCGCTGGGATGCGCCCAGCGGTCAGCGCCGCCGCGCCCGCGCCGGTCGCGCAAATCTAGCTGGCCGCTGCCCGCAATTGCATGCGCAGGCTGGCGCAGCCGCAGCGACGCGCCAGCCTGCACCACGCATTCATGGCAATCGCCGCCAGTTGCGCTTTGAAAGGCAAGTTGCGGGCGGATGGGTGGGATGGTTGCGCGAGCAGTTGGCTTAACATTGCGAGCTCCACAAACGAATTTCAACTCGTCGATTGCTCCACGTTGGTTCCACAGCGTAGATTGCACCACATAGGTTGCATAACATAGTTTGAACGGTTCAGGGCACAGAGCAAAGATTGCCCCACGTAGGTCCCACAACATATAGCGAATTGAGCCACATAGACTGCACAACGTAATATGACCCATATCAGGTGCACACCAGGTGTATATATATATATATGTATAGATGTCTATATATATATATACAAAGCGCCACATAATTTGTACCACGTAGATTGCACCACATGGGTTCACAAAATGATTGCCCGAAACGTCATCAGTGGTTTTCGGATTTTTTCGCGGGTGCCTCGATCGGCCTTCCCCCCGCCTTAGTCCAGTTCGAATATCTGTTGGAGCCTAGTCTGGTTATTATAGGTTCCTCTCTCTATCTCGCTTGTTCTTATATGTTTTTTGTTTTTTCTCCCTCTCTCTCTCTGCCCCTCGTTCTGTCCCGTGGTGTCCCGTCGCGCGGGCGCGCGTCGTGCTGTGCTATATGTTATGTTGTGTTGTGCCCGCGAATGCGAGGGCGATCGTGAGATCGATCCTGAGATCGATAGAGTGAAAGCGAAATTGGGATCGATCGTGAGATCGGTCGTGAGTTTGATCGTGAGATTGGCAGTGGGGACATTTCAGTGAGTTCGATTGCGATGTCGATACAGGGACCGATAGTCAGATCGACAGTGACATGCATAGTCGTACCGAGTGAGTGAGATTGATAGGGAGTTCGATCGTTCGATTGATCATGTGTTCGATAGTGAGATCGGTGGAGTGACATTGACAGTGCGATCGATAGCGATACTGTCTGTGTGATCGAGAGGGGGACCAATAGTGATACTGATAGTAAGATCGATTGTGCGGCATGGATCTAGGCATCGGTAGTGAGATCAGTCGAGAGATGGATCGTGAGATCGATCGTGGAATCGATTGTGATATGATGAGATCAGTCGTGCGATCGATCGTGCTGATCTCGGTGGTGACCTCGATACTGACATCGATAGTGACATAGATAGTGGGGCTGGTCGTGAGAGCGATCGGGAGATCGATCGTGAGATCGATAGTGATCCCGATCGTGATATCGACTGTGAGACTGATCGGTAGATGAATCGTGAATTCGATCGTGAGATCGATTGAATGACATGGATAGCGAGCTTGATCGCGAGATCGAATGGGAGATGTATGTTGACATCAAGAGTGTGATCAACAGTGGGATAGACTGGGAAACCGGGCCCCCAGGAACCAGAAGTTTGAACTTTGGGAGCCCCGCCGCCCACCGACATCGGTCGGGAACTAACAACCCAGAGCCCAGGGACCCGGTGCCGGGAAGCCGGGAACCCACCGAAATCGGCCCGGAATTTTCGTAGAATTGTTTGAAGTTCAGCGAGAACCTTTGCAGTGCAAGCATTGATTGAGGAGTGTTGCACCACGTAGATCGCACCACATTGTTTGTACAGCGTAGGTTGTATCGATTCGATTGCGCAACAAGTCATTGTACAACACATGTTGCTCCACTTGGATTTTACAACGCAGAGCGCACCACATATATTGCACTGGACGCACTGCAGCGCCACATAAATTGTACAACGTAGATTGCCCCGTATAGATTGCACAACTTAGACTGTACAACATACGTTGATTCACTCAGACATTACAACGTAGAGTGCCCCACAGATATACCACTCCATATGTCGCACGCCATATATTGCAACGCGTGCGTGTGTATACATATATATATATATATATATATATATGCATATGAGTTGCTTCACATGTAAATACACGCGTAGGTTGTACAACATAGATTGCACAACATAAGTTGCACAACACAAATTTCACAACCTATGTCAGACCACATAATGTGCATCACACAGCTTGCTCAACATATATTGCACAACATAGGCTGTACCACATAGACTGCGTCACATTTATTGCACTGTGTATCAGACCACATATGATTATAGTAACTCGTTGTGTTGGGTCAGCGTGTGCCCAACATATGTGTACATATGATCCTTTTAACAAGCGTATGCTGCGTCCCACGGCGAAGGTGCCGCACCTGGTGGACATCTGTGGCCATCTCGCTCAAGCCTCGAGCGAACTCCGCCCGCATCCTCACCGCCGTCCGCCCGGCGGCTGGCGCCTTGGTCCCATAGGTGGGCCGTGGGCCGACCACCGGTTCGGCGCTCCGTGCGGCCAGCAAGGGGCGGCGCGCTGTCCCGGGTGCACCTGCGCGCCGCAGCTGCCCTGGCCGGCGCGCCTCGGTGTCGGCCTCTGGTGTCCAGCCAGGGTACTTCGTCGGCGTGCAGTACTGTGCGGGGGGGCGGCGCCGCCCTGATCTACGAGCCCCTTGTGGTTGGGGCGCCGCCTGTGCGGCCAGGCGTGGCGTGCATACCTCCCTTGGACGCCGATGGGCACGAGGAGAAATACGTGGCTTCGATGGACGTGCTGAGGCGGGACATCTTCCACGGGGGCCCCGCCGTCGTGACGGCGCGGTGGGCTCCCGGGGCTCGCTGCCGCAGGTTCCGCAGCATGCCGACGCTGACGACGATCCTGATGGCCGCAGCCGCCGCGGCGTGTCGCGCGGGCATCCCCGCTCCCCCTGGGCCGGTCGTGGCCAATGCTGCGGGGCGAGTGCTGAGGGCGCCGGCCGCTGGGGCGCCCGACGGGCTTGCGCCCCCCCTCGTGGGCCATGCCGCCACTCCTGCGGCATGCGCGGTCGGGCCGGTCGTGGCCCTCTGCGGGCCCGCGGCCGCGCCTGGAGCGCCCCTGTCGCCCTCGCCCGCGGCGGCGGCCCCGCCGGGCGGCCCGCCGGCGCCAGCCCCGGCGCCCGCGTCGGCCCTGGCGCCCGCAGCGCCGCCGCTTGGGGCGGCCGCGGCCGCCGCTGCGCCCTGGGCCCCCGCCCACCCGAGGAGGCAGGCGGTGGTGCATTACACCCTCGGCTCCAGGGCGGCGGGCTTCGGCGACGTCGGAGCGCGCGCGGTGATCGCGCGGTGGCCTGGGGGGCCGTTCTCCGGCCCCTGTGCGGCGCGGTGGTCTGCCAGCTCATGAAGGACAACGGCTTGTCGCCCATCGGGCGCTTCGGCAAGTGGAGGTCAGAGGTGCGCCTCTCCCTCGCCGACGGGGGCGTGGCAGAGCGTGAACGGTGCCGCGCCCACGTGGAGCAAATGGTGTGCTTCGATCAGTTGAACGACCCAGACTCTACGGCGGTGGAGATGATCTGCCGCGGCATCCCGCTCCAGGAGGAGAGGTGGCGCGATCGGTGCGCCCGATCGGCCGACGAGTCCTTGGGCTCGCACTTGTTCTACGGCGCGGCGTCGATCCGTGGCGACGTGTTCTCGCGCCCCCAGCTGCTGGCCCACGTCGGCGACGGGCTCTCCAAGGGGTACGCCGTGGCAAAGGAGAGGCTTCAGGTAAAGGGGGGGCGCCTGTCCACGCTCACCCCGAACAACGAGGACATGGAGGGCGGCAAGGGCAAGTACAAGGACGAGTCGAAGGGGGCGAAGGAGAGCGCGCAGCGGGACGGAGGGCCCCCTGCTGCGGCGGAGCTCGAGCACCAGGCCCGTTTTCGCGGCGAGTTCGCCGCCATTGGTGACCATCGTCATCGGGATCTCTGTCCTTTGTTTCACGTGGCCCGACGTGCTGTTCGCGCTGCCGACCGCCGCCCCTGCCGCGCCATCCCCCAGCGGGTCCGCCGCTACGATGTGCTATGGCAATGGGCTGACCATGGCGTGGATGCGCTCAACCGCTTGCACGGCCACTCTGGTGTGGCCCCGTCGGCGCCCGACAACCTGGGACAGCAGACCAGTTGGAAATTTTTGGAGGACTGCTACCTGGGCGTGTGCGCGATGCCGAGCGCACCAGGTTTTTGTGAAGAAGCCCTCCGCGAGCTTCTCAGTGGCTCCGCGTTCGACTCTGTCGACGGCGGAGCCCGGGCCCCGTGCTCCAAGGAGTTGGTCTCCTGGCTTGAGGTGTGTGCCAGCCCTGCCGACCTTCTGGGCTGCCTCTCTCAGGACAACGCCGACTGGGCACGGGATTGGCGACATTATTTGCTCAGGGCGCCTGTCAAGGCGCTGCAGGGAGCTCGGCATGCTTGTCCTCGGGGACCCTTTGTTGACCCTCGGTTGGCGCGGGTCCCAGTTTGGTATGGCAAGTGTGTACGGCGTCTTCTTCAATGTGGCACGCGGCGCTCTACGGTGGCCTCCACTGACAAGCCCATTATTGGTTTGTTTTTTTTTTTTTGCGAGGAGGGAGTCTGTCGGACTTCGCATCGTGTTCGACACGAGGTACGCCAACGCCTACTTCCACCAGGCGCCTCCGGCGCGGCTGCCCACGGCGGCTGCGGTGTCTTCGGTGGGGTCTGGCGGCCGGCCGCATTATGTGGCAAGCGGCGACCTCGACTATGCCTTCTGCCGCCTCCGGCCCATGTCGGGCCCTGAGGACTACTTCACTTTGCCGATGCTGCCGCGCACCCTCGCCGGCGTCTCCCAGCTCGATGGCGTCGCGGTCCCTGCGGGCACTTGCCTGATGCCGTTCCTCACCATCCTGCCCATGGGGTCGTCGGGGGCGTTGCACCTTTGCCAGACGGTCGCCATGCGGGCGATCGCGGTGGCTGGCTTCCCGGACTCGGCCGTGTCATCGTGGCGTTGCCCACCTCCACCGCCTCCGCCGCCGCCGGCTACGTGGGCGACGTCTACATCTTGGGCCACGACCCGCCGTTGGTCACGCAGCGCTGGGATGACGTGTCCGCCGTCCTGGGGGGCTGGGGCCTCACGGTCCATGACGAGACGGTCGCCTCCACGGTCGCCGTCTGGGTGGTGCTGGAGCTCAGGCGGGGCCGCTGGCTATCGGCCAAGCGTCGCAACCTGTGGCAGATGCGCGCGGCGCGTGACGCTGGGCTGCGCCGGGGTTGCTGCCCAAGCAAGAGCCTGGAGTTCCAGGTCGGCCACATCACCTGGGCATGCCTGATGCGACGGGAGCTGTTGTGTGTGCTGAGCGCCGTGTACCCGTACGCCGTGGCCGGCCTTGCCTTGACTTCCCGGAAGTGGGGCTCTGGGCGCGTGGAGCTCTGTCTGGGGGTTCTGGCTGGCCCGTGGCACGGCATCGTCGGGGTGAGCTACGCCTCTGAGCTCGGAGGCGGCGTTGCCGCGCGGCTTGTGCGGCCGAGCGTAGCGGCGCAGCACGGCCTCCAGTGCGAGCGAGGGCGGCGCCGGGTGCATGGTGCCGAGAGGGCGCCTGGAAGAGTCCTCCAACCTCAGCCCCTGCCATCCTCCGCATCACGTTCAGCTTCGCTGCCTGCGGGACGGCACGGCCTGGACATCATGGGCCTCGAGTCCTTCATCAGGGTGTACTCTCGGGAGTCCATGGAGGTCCCCCGGGAGTTCTTCGACGGGGCCAACTGATCTCCTGTTATCGCCTGGAGGGGTATCGTGCCCGACAACATCTCAGCCCTGGAGGGGTGCGCTCTTATCTAGGGTATCAAGCACATCTTGAGGACTGGGGCTGTCTGTGGGAAGTAGATCGCATTGTTTGTCGACAGCATGCTGTTAGCCCTGGGATGCTCCAAAGAAAGGGCTGCGTCTATTCATCTCCATCGTACACTTCGTAATCTATATTGCATGGCCCTGTGTTCTAACTTTACGATTCACATTCGCTGGACTTGCAGCGAGTTCGACCCTGCCGACCCCCTGTCTCGTGGCCGTCTTGGCTGGTTCACAGGGCCCTTCCGACGCCGAACGACCGCCGCCTCGTGGTCGCCGGGGCCTGGGCCCGATGCCGGGACCTGCGGCTACTCGGCGCCAGGCGGGCCGCCGGCGCCAGGCCGCGGCCACCCGCCAGGGGGCAGCGGCGCGGGGGGCCTCCGGCTGCCTGCCGGTGCTGGGGCGGGCGACGGTCAGAGTGGTCTCGGACCGCTTAAGTCCAGGTGTACCTCCTGGCCTTCATCCAGTTCTGCCTCGTGATGGTGGTTGGCTGGGCGGGCCGGGCCGAGCTGCGCCTGTCCCTGACCACGTGCCTGTACTCCACGTACTCCGAGGGTCGCTCCCCGAACGGGGGCTCGGGCCCTCGGGCTGCTCTTGCTCACTGCTCGCCGACGCTGTTCCCAAGGGCCGCGCGGGCTTTGCCGCGGGCGATCCGCTGCCGGGCGGGCGGGCGCCGTCGGGTGCCGACCGTGATGCGCCGGCCGCTGCCTCGCCGGGCTGCCTTCGCCCTCGCGGGGGCGAGGGCGGCGCGGGGCCAGCCGCGCATCCGCCCGTTCGTCAGTGCGGTGTTCGTGGCCTACCTCCGCCGCAGGGGGCGTTCCAGCTGGCGGGGCGGCACCCTGCGCCGCCGTTGGCCGATTCGGGTCAAGCCCCGACCCCGCGGGAGCGGCTGCTGCACGACTCGGACCTCCAGCTCGCCGAGAAGACCTACCTAAGGGACATGGGCGCGCTCCTGGACCCGCCGCCTTGGCTCGCGCTCGCCCTGGAGGCGCTGAAGATCGCGGCGACGGACGGCCCCCTCGGGAGCTACCAGCCGTCGTTGATTTCTCGGCTCTTCGTGGATGCGTGCCCCGCCCAAGGCCGGGCGCACCTGCAGCCCTACTCGCACTCGCTCCGGCAGGGGGTGGCCAGCTGGGACTGGCTGTGGACCCCGTCGCGCTGCTGTTCGGGGAGCTCGTGGAGCGGAACCTCCTGGACGCCCTCCGGGTCGGCCCGCCGCTGCCGCTGGCCATGGGCGCCGCGCCGGCGGCCCTCCGCCCCTGCCCGCGGGCAGGGTCCGGAGCCCCTGCCGCCTTGCGGGCTCGCCGGCGCGGACCGCGTCGCAGGATGCCGCGGCGCGGCATCTGCGCCGGCGATATCGGCGCGCCCGGGCGGCCGCCGCCGACTGGAGGAGCTTCCTGTTCCTTGAGCTGCTCGCGGGATGCGGTCTCATCTCCCAGCGTGCTCGTGCCATGGGCCACGGCTGCCTGGACATGGACTTCGCCCTTGGGGCCGCGGAGGACTTTCCCAGTTCCACGTTCGAGTCAATTGTGCGAGGCTGGCTGTTGAGCAAGGCAGTCGTGGGCCGAGGGCTCGGCACATCCTGCACTGCTTGGTCGCAGGCGCTGAGGGGGCCGCGGCGCTCGATGCAGCGGGCTACGGGCAAGCCAGGGCTGGAGGGAGCTCGCCCGCATCGCTTCCGCTTGGGCACTCGCTCCTCCCACTTTTCCTGCCTCCCCATCTGGCTCTGTATCCAGTTCGGCTGCCCTGTCTCCCCGCAAAACCCTCGTGGGTCTCTTCTGTGGCATATTCATGAAATGGTCTATCTGTTCTCTCATTCATCGTGCTCTGTCCTCAAGGTGGACATGTGCCAGTTCGGCACGCCTTTTAAGAAGCCCACGTCGGTCGCCTGCTTGAACGCAGGCTCATTCCCCAGCTCATGTGAATCGTGCACCGGCAAAGATGGCATCTGTCCCTCCAGCGGCCTGCCTCGCCTCTTCTTCCAGGGTCGGGATGCGGATGCGCTGGCCCGCCGCGCCGAGTTGGCCGCCGCGCACTCGCCTCTGTTTGTCCGCGCCGCCGCCCGTGCCCGCAGACACTCTGTCAATGCTTTCGAAGAAGTGTGGATGATGAATGCAACTCTCAAGATGTATAGCTCGCCCAGTGCCCAGGTGCTGTCAAGTGCAAAGCGTTGTAAACTTGTGAGGCTTATGTCAGTATATACGTGCGTAGTTCGTTATTCGGCCACCTGTCGTGGCCAGGACTGCTCTGCGGGATTCGGGTGGCTCCTGAAAGTATTCTTGCAGGTGTGCGGCGTCCGCCGGGATCAGCTCTCTTTGGATAGCCTCCGGTTGCCGTGGCCTCGCCCTCCCGCGTTCGTCCCCATAACAAATACATCGTCCTGGCATCTGGGGAGTGGTAGTAGCTGATCCTTTTAACAAGCGTATGCTGCGTCCCACGGCGAAGGTGCCGCACTTGGTGGACATCTGTGGCCATCTCGCTCAAGCCTCCCCTCCCTCCCCTCCCTTGCCCTCTCTCGATTGCACAGTGTCTCAGGTGGCTCCTGAAAGTATTATTGCAGGTGTGCGGCGTCCGCCGGGATCAGCTATCTTTGTACAGCCTCCGGTTGCCGTGGCCTCGCCCTCCCGCGCTCGTCCCCATAACAAACACATCGTCCTGGTATTTGAATTTGTGGATGCATGTGCATCCACATACATCGATAGAGATACGCCCCAGGTCTGCCACCCAGCTGGCCGATAGCCCCGACATCCATGTTCTTCTATCTTGCCGATCTGAAAATAATTCGAAGTTCACGTTTTGTTTTGCAACATGGACGACTTGTCGTCGACGATCCAGAGCACCAACCAGTGGGAAATTCAACGGGGCGGCGCCGCGCCCAGATCTTCTTGAACCTTGAGTTCCCGCTTGTGCGCGGCGCGCACCTTTCGTCCTGTCAAGTTCTCAACGCGCGGGCGGCCGAAAGATGTTGCGTTTGCCCCTGCGCCGCGCTGATTTCACTTGAAACTGACCTTCCCGCTCCGGCGCGGCGCATATTTGGGGGGAGGGGCCGCGCGCGCGCGGCCGACCTGTCGCGGCCGTGGCGTCCCCCGCGCGGGCGCGACGTTCGCCGAGTTGCAGGCAGGCCGGGGCGGGAACGGGTCCGCGCGAGGGCGGGCGAATTGCTGCCCGCGCCCGAGCGCCGCTTATTTTGTGTGCGTGCGCGTGGCGCGTGCGAAAACGATCGCGTGAGGCCCGCTTATTCGCGCGACCTGGCTGACATGGTTCATATTGATATTCCTCCCCCTAAGTGTCAGTTTACTCCGCTCAACTGGTAGCCTCGTCATCTTCCATCACAGTTCGCGGTTGCTATATTATTCCCCGCTCCGCGTGCGTATCAGATCCGCCTATCGAGCAATGGTAGCAGTTTGCCTGTGCCTTAACGAAAACATCGGAGTTGCCAACGGAGCACTCGTGTAATCCAAAACCGGGGCAGCACCGCAGTCTGGCGCGCATCAAGAGGGTTCGGAGTAGCCGGGAAGTTTGTAGGAGACGTTCGCAATAATGCTCGAAAGTGTACCCAGCAAGCTTGCAAGCTTTGAAAAATAGGATTTGCGCGCGAACCCAGGACACGCCGCGAAGGAGCAGTGTAACGGCTCGCGGCACGCGTTTTGCGAACGAGTAAGAAATTGTTTTTGGGACAAGCTGCGAAGTCAAACAGTTTGTTGCGAGGATGTCTGATGGGCAGCCGTGGAGAGGAACCTGGCCTACGCTTGTTGGCCCGCTTCTTACCTACAGCCCCAGTTAGCTTTCAGGATGCTATCCGCGAGATATGATCAGCTTGGATCCATCGCATTAGCTCTCGGAGCACAAGCATTAGCTAAGACCGCGCAAAGCAGAAGCAAGGTCAGAAGGCTAGGCGATCCTCAAGTCCACAGTGCCGATCTCCTCTGGGCAAGCTACACGATAGCTCTTTCCTTCAAACGCACGAAAAATCGAACGACTCCTGGCTTTTCTGGTCGGCCCAGGGCTTCTGAAAGTTTCGTTTTCGGGCCATCAATCGGGCCTCAAGCGGCCGTTCGGGACGATCCGGGCACCCCGGGAAAGCTCTCGGCGAGGCGCAGCTCCTAGAACGCACCTCGAGGCTGGAAGACCGAAGACGCCCGAGGCCCTCGAAATTTCAAGTTTCGAGTTCCTCTGAGCTTCCCCCTTCCCTCCTGACGTTGCTCCTGGGCCAGGCCGGGGGCCTCTGCACGGGCTGGTCCGGCTGGCCTTCTTCCCATTGCCGCTTGGGTGACGGATGCCACACGATGTTCAGATTGTATGTTCGATTCGGACGTGCGCTTCCAGAGGGGCGCACAATAATTACCAGTCTGTCCTTCTGCGTCCCATCTGGCCTGATAAACAAGAAGGCAGCGAGGCACCGACTATGTTGTGCAGCTACGTATGAGAGCTGCTCTGCTATCTGCTTCCAGTCCTGGGATCCAGCCCTGCGCGGTTGTGAACCCTCACGCCTGGCAGACAATCATCTGGGCCAAGACGGCTTACGGAAGACGACATGAATGACATCCCACCCACCTACCCCAGCCTGACTCCGCACTTGCCATCGCTCGGACGTGTGCGTTTTTCCTTCGGCGAGGACCATCGAGGAGCATCCTTGATCATTTGGCGAAATAACCACGCACGAAACCAAAATAAGCACAGGAAATGGACGTCCGAGCGATGGCCAGCGCATGCATTGGCGAGAAGTTGTGCCAGTGTCGGTGGCCCCCCTGGCCACCAGGGTGGCCAGCCGACCACGGCCCCAGCTGGTGATGGAGCTCCCGTTCACCGTGGCGCGCCACGCCTCGGTGCCGGCCGCGACGTGGGGCCGCAAGCGCCGCGCGCTCGCGGCGATCTCCCCCGTCTTCAGCGTGCTCCTGCTCCGCCTGTCCTTCCAGGGTTGCTAGGGGAGGAAAAGGTAGCGATGATTCACAGGCGGCGTTTCGCCTCCAATACCCAAGTTGCCCAAACAACATCAGGTCGTTATTCGGACGCACCCCTTTCGAGGATGGACGCCCCCTATCGTATGATCGTATATCCCAGAAGTGGGCCAAAAATATTGATCCGGTTGAAACCTTCCAAAGTCGGGGATTGGGGTCGCCATAGCCGTCGTGAGTCTGCGTCGTGAAAAAAGATATTGTCAGAAGGTTTTTTGCCGCTTTTGGCCTCCAGAGGGGCTCTCGCGGGGCTCTTGGACCGTCCAAACAACAGGTTCGTGATGGAAATCTGGCCCTGGGGAGAGGGTCGGATCTTCCGGGGATCCTGTATTGGAGAAGCAAATTCGTCGGATGTTTGGGGAAGGCAGCGATGACGCTGCCCTTCCCTCGCGTTGGCCGTTTTCTGGGCGTCCTGGGAGGCCCTCGTTGCCACCGCTGTCTTCGCACAGAAATCTCTGAGCGCACCCCGTGAGAGGTCCAGGGAGAAGCGGTATTGGTAGTTTCCCAGACATTCGACGATCTGATTTTTCAATCCGGGGCCCTGGAGCTCCCGACCCCTTCCCCAGGAGCAGCCAGTCCCGCCAGTATCGCTAGTCCCGCGGCCCATGCTTGCCAGTCCCGCGGCCCGATTACGCGCCCCATGGGCCGAAAACAAGGAAAATGGCCAGGATAGAAAAACTCATGTCGTCGGAGATTTTGGCACCTTTTGGTTTCTCCAGGCTGGGGCACCTTCAGCGCCTCCTGGTGCGGCGTGCCGGCCTGGCTGTGCTGCGTGTCGCTGGGGCTCGTGGCGAGCGCGGGGGTGCTGCTGGGCTCCTCAGAGGCCCGGCAGCCACCGTGGCACTCGCTGCTGCTGCTGCAGGCGTTCGTCTGCGCCATCTGGAAGAGGAAAAATCACATAAAATGAGGTTCGAGGTTCGAGGTGTTCGGGCGTGTTCCCTGGGATCTCGGCGGCTTTCCAGCCTCGGGATGCTCTCCAGCGGCTGCGCCTCGCCGAGAGCGTTCTGGGACTTCCAGGGCTGCCCCAGACGGCCGCCGGAGAGCCGAGGTGTGTCCCGAAGACTTCCCCTCGAAACAGCAATTTTCGGAGGTCCTCGCGGATCGGCGCTGGGCCCCCTGGTCGGCGCCTTTGGGGCCTCCCTTGGCGCGCTCCGCCCAGGGAGGGGGTTCAGCATCGATACGAGAAATCCCCCCGGAGCTCCGAAAGTGTAGGTTTATGTTGTTTTTGTTTCTTCTGCCATCGCGTGGTTCAACCTCCTGGCGAATGAGTGCGTCGCTGTGCTGCTCACTTTCGGGGTCAATTTCGGCGTCTCCTCTTCCGTTCTGGGCATCACCGTCCTCGCGTGGGGGAACTCCGTGGGCGATCTTGTTGCGGACACCGCCTTGGTGAAGAAGGGCAAGGCGAGGATGGCAGTCGCAGGTTGTTTCGGCTCCCCCCTATTGTCCGAGCTGCTTGGTCTGGGTGTCGCTCTTATCTCGGGCCTGGGAGTCTATCCATGGTACTGTTTCTCCCTTCTCCGTCTTACCTTCCCTCTTTCTCCGGAACTGCCAGGGAAGGTGAGGGAGGGGGGAAGTGAGGATTAGCACAATGGAAATATTCCTTGGCCCTACATCACTTACACGGTGTCGGTTGGGGAGTTGTCGTCAGCACTCAGCTTACAGAACAAGGTTGCAGCGGGATTTGTTTTGGCGTCTGTATTGTCAACGGGGTTTGCGTTCGGATGCTGTCGATTTACATGTCCTCGTTGGTTTGGCGCTGTCCTGTTGATGCAGTATGCCGCGTTTATGATCACGTCTGTAATCCTCGAGTTGGCGCTGCACCATCAGCACCACCAGGAGCTGAATGTCGCAGAAGATGATTCACTGCTCAGCTTCTGACGGTCATCAAGTTGTTTTGCGTGGATCCAGGCTTCGACGCTGCATGACGGCCGCAGCTGGTCCATGGACGCCAGTAGTCTTATACTTGTCTTAGTCGCTCAGTTTCACGGCGGTGCTTTTATGTACACGTGTGCAGCCCCTTGCGGGCTGGCCATACTAGGTGCTGCGCCCTTGCCTGTAACGCTAACATGACAGATGAGTTGGATGCTCGTTTGGGGGACCTCCCTGGGGCCCACCCCACGGATCCATTCGACTATTGTCCGATTCTAGGCCAACGCCAGTTCGATCCAAGTTCGAGACATGTCCGATTCAGGTTCGACTTAAGTTCGACAACGAGTCGACGGACGTTCGACGCAGTTTCGACGCACGAGTTGGAGCGAGTGGCTCCAGGAAGGTCCCCAGAATGAGCATCCGAAAAGAGGGCTTTGACTCCAGCCGCCGAAATCCTCCTCTAATCTTGGTATCGCTCGGACGTGCGCACTTTCTCTCGGCGGGGATCACTAAGGACCAAGGAGCATCCTGGATCATCCTGCGAAAAACCACGCACGGAACAAAAGAAAGCAACATGGAATGGACGCCCGAGCGATGGCCAGTAATTGCTCCTCTGTGCGCGATCTGCAGCAGCACACCCTGAGCGTTGGGCAGTGGCGCGGCCCTGCTCAGAGAGGCGGCGGTTTTGCCGCGGCAGGTGTGGATCCCCTGGAGGTGCGCTGGCCCGGCCGGGACCCCACTGGCAGGAGGTGTCGGGGGCGGCCCGAGGGGCTGGGTATCGCTCGGACGCGTGCACTTTGTCTCGGCGGGGGTCATTGAGGAGCATCCTGGATCATCCTGCGCAAAAACCACGCGCGAAAAACCGTAAAAAAACAGGGAATGGACGTCCGAGCGGAAGCGAGGCGCTGCGGGGATGCTTGCCCGGGAGCCTTGGAGAGGACTGGCGTAACCATGCTTGCCGGCTTCTTCTCTGAAACCATGTTAGGTCTCCAGGGAATTATCCAGAAACAGTCGGACCGATGTATAAGATCGAGGTCGGTTCGGGGAGGGTCATTTGGTGTTCTTCACGGTTTGTTGGATGTCTTGGGTAACCCTGGGGAGGGTACCCTAGGATGTTCTGCGTGTCTTGGCTGGCGGGGGGCCTCATGTTCTTGAAGGATGCTCTTCTGGCCAAGGTCCGTCTGTAGGGAGGGGGGGATGACGGAAGGCGCGGGTAGCGTCGCGATCTGTTAGCCGGGAGAAATAACAGGGGGGGTGCAGGCAGCCCGGGCGTCAGATCTAGTCGCCCCACGTTTCGGCCACGTTCGGCACAAAACGACGCCATCAGCCCCAAGAGCGCCCAAGAGGCCCCCAAATCGGCCCAAGAGGTCCCAAGACACTCCCAAGACGGCGTCGGGGAGGTCCAAGAGGGCCAGAAGACGGCCCAAGAGCGCTCCAAGAGTGCCCGATATGATTTCAAGACAGCCCCAAAGGCCCCAAGACGTCCCAAGAAGCCCCCAAAGGGGACCCCCAAGAGGCAAACACCGTCCGATTCTCTCAGGATAGTTTACATTTTCAGCATCTTCGCTTCTTTGGTCTCCACAGCGTCCAAAACGGTCCAGGAGGCCCACAAGACCGTCAAGACTGCCCTGGAGGCCCCCAAGAAGGCCCAAGTGGGCGTCAAGACTACCCAAGAGAGCCCGGAGACGGCCCAAGAGGACCCCTGAGGGCCCCAAAAGGTTTCCAACAGAAACCCGACAGGGCCACAGGAGGTCCCCAAAGAGACCCAGGATGGCCCCCAGAGGGCCCCAAGACGGCCCAAGCCCGCCAAGACGGCCCAAGAGGGTCCTGGAACGGTTCAACAGGGCCCCAAAACGGCCCAAATGAGCACCAAAAGGACCCCCAGGAAGGCCGGGAAATGCAACATTATTGATTTTCGCAAGGTTCGTTGCTAGATGCTAGATTTCTCTATGTCGCACCGAAACTTTAACACCAGCATGGCTCCAAGACGCTAAGCCAGCGACCTCGCGCCCTCACAAAATTATTGCGCTTTCCGTCCCCAGGCCAAGCAGGTCTCATGGCCAGGGCAACGATCCCTCCCAGATCTAGGGGCCCCCTCTTCTTGCCTTGCGTCTCCTGGTCCCCCCCCCATTGGGCCGCGCACGCGCCTCTGGCCACGACTTGCGACCCCCCCCCCGTTCTGGACGCCCCCCTCCTGGACGCCTCCGAAGTTGGGCTTCGATTCGGAGGCGTCTGGGCGAAAACCACAAGACAGCACAAATAACGAGAGCAAGGCATGCACCGCACACCCTTGGAAGCATCGTGCGCGCACGCAGGCGCAGACACAGACCCGCGATGCTTCCAAAGGCACCCAGCCGCCCGCACGGCGCCTGGTGCAGACGGCCGAGCGTGCCCGGCGGCGCGGCCATCTCGTCTCAGCGATGCGCTCAGCCACTCGCGATCTTCGTTCAGGAGGCTGCCAGGAGTATTCGCTGGACACGGTTGGTTTCGCTTGGCCTGAGGCCGCCCCCCCCCAAAACATGAGGCGCCCTAGAGCAGCCGTCGAGATCACCTCTCTTGAACCAGACCGCCTCGCCATTCCCGACCGTTGGCGCAAGCACGCAGTCGGACCGAGGTATCAGATCTATCTCGATTCGGGGAGGGGGTGCCCTTTGTGCATCCTGGGGAGGGTACCCTTGGATGTTTTGTTTGTATTGGCCGACGGAGGGTCTCATGTTTTTGAAGGATGTTTTTCTGGCCTAGGCCCGACTGTAAGTGGAGTGATGATCTCTGACAGCTCCGTCTGCAGAACGTCTGAAGGGGCCGTGGGGTCGCACGCAGCAGCTGGACAACAGTCAGAGGTCGTATCTTTGTTTTTTTCCGTCTGCAGGCTGTCAGCAGGGGCCGTGGGTTGTCATCCAGCAGCATCTCCAATAGATGTAGGGTTCAGTTCAGACAATCCCGTTTGGATTTGAGAGAACGGTAGTTGGCCTTCGGGGGGCCTCGTTGCTTCGGCTGGACGCAGCTCGGACAATTGTGCGTTTAGGCCCCTGAAGGGGTCCAGGGACCCGTTCTGAGTTGCGGTTGTCTCAATTCGCCCTGCTCCGATCAGTTCTGACCATCCCGTCTATAGGCCGTCTGTAGGGGCAGTGAGCTCTCCCCCGGCAGCCAGACCCAGTATACGGAGAGGTCAGTTCTGACCACTCCGTCTGCAGGCCGTCATCAGGGCCCGTGAATTGACGGCAGCCGGCCCCAATGGATTGAGTAATCAAGCAGTTCAAATTGTTCCGTCTACTGAAGTACACTTGACTTGTTCCATTTCTTCACCGATTGCCCGTCGCCAGTCTGCTGTCATTGCACAGCATAGTGCCGATGATCATGGTGCGGGAGAAGCCAGCCCAGAAGGATAGACAGCAATACGTTCTTCTCTCTGGGGTTGCCCCCCCGGGCATACCCAGACATCCTCCGAGGTTTGGTTTTCAACGCGCGGCCCCAGGGCTCTTGACACCTTCACTGGGGCCAGACTGTTGCCCTGGAACCACTGTCGATTGCCCCGGAGCCCGAAAGTCTGCCCCGAGGAACAAGCTCCCACAACAAGAGACACATGCCGTCGGAGAGTTGGGTTCGGCGGCGCGCACCAGGCGGGTGGCGTGAGGGGGGCGGCCTCCCAAGAAAGCGGTGGGGCGGCTTCTAGGAAGGCAGGTGGTTTCTCGGAAGCCCTCCCGGCTTCCAAGAAGCCTCCGGGCTTCCGAGAAGCCTTCTTAAGTTAGCAGCTCCCAGGCCCGTCTGAGAAGGCTCCCGCCTGCTGAGAAGCACCCCGCCTTTTCAGAAGGTCACCCCCCTCGCGCCACCCCCAGACGTCCGACGATCACATTGTTGTTCCATACGCGGCCACAGAGCTCCTGGCCCCTTCCCCGGGCTAGCAACTCGTACTGGATCCGCTTTCGATGGCGCAAGGGCCCGACAACGGGGCCTAGAGGCCGATGTAGGGGGAAAACGCTTGGGTGTGAAGCCAAAAGACCGTCGGAGAATTGGTGGCTTTTGGGTCATCGCTCGGCTCACCCGTGGCCGTTCGGGACAATCCACACCCACCCACCCGAACGCTCTCGGCGAGGCGGATCCGCTGGAACGCATCCCGAGGCCATGGAAAACCGCCGAGAACCCACGAAAGCGCTCGAAAACCTCCAGCCTCGAGCCCCCCGTCGGCGCCAGTGGGTGCTCGGACGGGGCTAGGACGAGGATAAATCCGTTCCAGAGCGTTCCGGAACGCTCCCAGAGCGTTCCGGAACGCTCCGAGAAGGCCGCGGCGCCAGAGACATCTTCCAGAGCCGCGGGAGCTCAGAGATTCTCGATCTGTCCTCACCCGAAAACATCCTCGCCCTGGCTTCGCCTTAGGCGTCCTTCTCCTTCGCCGCCCGCCCGCAAAGCTCTCGGCGGCCGAGGGCTCCCCCCCGGCGGGGGGGCGGACCTCCTGCGCGACCGAAGAGGGAGGGGGGGCGGGCGCTCGGCCCATGGAGGGGCGCGCGCCGTATCCCTACCACAGGACCCGCGTCGGCGTTCCTCGACCTCGCGCCTCCAGCGCGGCGGAGGGGCCATCGAGGGGAGGGGGAGGAGGACGAGGAGGGGGAGGAGGAGGAGCAGGAGGAGGAGGAGGGAGGAGGAGGAGGAGGAGGAGGAGGAGGAGGAGGAGGACCGTAGCCATTTTGGCTCAAGCCATTTTGGCTCGAGTAAACCAGTCTCGAGGTGGCTCAGGAGAACCAAGGCCCCCGAGCCATTCCATTTCTCGCACGATCCACTCCCCTCGAAGGGACATTCATTTGTCCAAGGGAGTGTTCTGCAGTCATTTCGGCCACTTCCAGACAGATGTTTCCCAGCTTGGGTAGTCTAATTGAGGGGCACCCAATAGATGGCGCAATGGGCAGCAACATGGAAGTGCAAATGCGGACAGCAGAACTGGCTCAAGCATATGAGTTGCAGCAAGTGCGGAACTCACTGGAAGGCGTCGCAGGGCATGTCAGACAAGGCTCAGTCCAGCAATCGCCGCCAGCGTTCCAACAGCCAGAAGACAAATGCAACAGATGGACGGCCGTGGGAAGGGGAAGATAACGACATCAACAGCCCGGCCTTCGTGAGGATGGCCACGCCAGCGGAAGCTCAGTCACACCCAGGCTACAAACCCTTATCCGCGAAGGCCGACGAGAGCGAGAAGAATATGTATTACACAGAAGTGAAATCGACATTGAACCTATTACAGCAGAGATACAAGATCGCCTGGGCCATGAAAGAACCCATCCAGGAGATCACACAGCAGATTGCCATATTGAGAAGGATGCTCATATCAGAGAAATCGCTGGAGCAGCAAAGTGCGTGGACAGAGACAACGATCGCCAGAATGATGTTGAGGGTCGACTCAGCCAACAAGGCGGTGGAGGCGCAGCAAGAGATCCTGGACAAGAAGATCGCGATTCGAGACAATCTCCAGGACCAGCTAGAGGCCCTCTGCCGCACCAAGAACGAGATACGAAT